ATCCTCTAGGAGGTTTTAGGATTTTCTTTTTGTGCTTGGTGTTTTGAAATCCCAACAAAAATGTTCTCAGGGTGAAGATTGGTTTTTGTTTGTTTGCTTTTAAATTCTGCATTTTCTGTGGGCTTTTGCAATCTGAAAATGCAGACTTTCTGCTGTTGAGAAAATTTCCTGTTTAATTTCTTTGAAAACTTTTCTTCCCTCTCTTTTTTAAAAAAATTTTTTCCTCTATTTTCTCATTCCAGTATCCATGCGGGTGAACCTCCTGAATTAATCCTGTAGGTTTCTGGCTCTCTCAAACTTTCCATTTGTCTATTAATCCTACTTTCCGAGAGATTTTCTCCATGACATTTTCAAACATTGTTACTCCATTTTCATTTTGGCGAATCCTATTTTTAATTTCTGGGAGCTAATTCTTATCTCTGTAATGTTCTTACTGATAACACTTGATTCTTGGTTTCTGGAGAACTGTGCATTTTCCTCTCAGTCCCTTGGAAGGATACGAACTAGACCAATTCGAGTTTGTATGTTTGTCTGTTTCTTTGTTCCTTGAATTTCTGTTCCCCGGACTGTTTGGTACCTTTGGGGTCCTACCCACCCCACCTCATAACTTTCCAGTTCTCTCTTTTGTGTTGAAGGTTTTGTTCAAATATCTGGCAGTCCTCCACATCTGCATATTTAAAAATGAGTCGTGCCTGTTGAGCTCTGCCTACATGCAAGGCTTGCCAGCTGCTCTGAATTTGCCAGGGTTATGTTACGGGTCAGGAATTCCACTTCTATGTGGTGGTGAATTTTTTTTTAAGCATTTTTTTTTTTTAGGGTAGATCCTCTTACCTTTTCCCCTGGGGGGTGAACATATTTGGATTCTGAGAATTCTGCAGAATTTCAGCAAATGCCCCAGTTTCCGGCCTCTCGTCCCCTGCCGTCCTTGGCGTGTGTGTCGCAGCGGGGTGGACGTGGGCTGTGTGGCTGGTCATTGTGTTTCTTGTGGGGTCCTCCTCCTCACATGCTCACAGCAACCTTATTTCCCTTGACTTCTGTATCCCTCCAGCCAGAGATCTGTGAAATCTCACACTAGCTGATAGTCCCCTCCCGCCTCTTTGGTGGCTTGGGGTCCACACTTGTGTTCCCCAGATCTCCTTTTAGCCTGTTGTCCTTTCATCTCATGGATAGGGTAGGGGACGTTGGGAGGATCCCTTTCTCCATCTTTCCTTGGAAGATTTCCCATAAACATTTTAATGGGGGAGAGGCTGGAAATGGGAGAATTTGTTGAAATTCTGTGGAATTCCCAGAAGCCAAATATGTTTATCCCCAGGAAGAAAAGGCAACTTTGCCTCTTTGGGGGAAGTAATTTTGATCAGAGCTCAGTGCTTTGGAAATATCTAAATGAATAATACTTGCCATTAATATCTTTTTAGACCCTGTTGTTGTTTTTTTTAAAAAAACTATGGTTAGATAAATAGATACATGACAGCTGATGATGACAGATAGATAGAAATATATAATCAATAGATTGTAGATAGATATAAATATATAATCTATACACTGTAAATAGATAGATGATAAGTTGAGGTTTTCTTGGCAAAAACGTGGATGAACCTTGAAAACATAATGCTCAGTAAAATAAGTCAGCCACAAAAGACCATATGGTGTTTGATTTCATTTGCATGAAATGTCCAGAATGGGCAAATCTGTAGGGACAGAAAGAAGATTAGTGACTGCTAGGGGCTGGGAAAGCAGACTGGTAGGGACTGCTAATCGGGACAGGGTCTTCTTTTGGAGTGATAAGAATGTTCTGGAACTAGATAAAGGTGGTGGTTATACAACATGGTGAATGTGATAAATGCCCCTGGGTTGTTCACTTTCAAATGGTTCATTTTATATTACATGAATTTCACCTCAATTAAAAAGAAAGTCAACCTGGAAGGGTCAGACTCTAATTGAGTCATATATTTAGGTCTGAAGATGCTTACTGTGATCTTTGGTGATTCTTTCTGTCTCCACCCTCTGTCGAGATATGGATCGGGAAAGCCCTGAGAGGGCCGGAGATCTGGCCTTGTTTCCGACACTGTCTGAGTGTTGAGGTCTGGGGACAAATCTCAAACGGCACCTTTGCCTAAACCAGCTTTGGCCTTTGCTGACAAGGATTCTGGATGCTTGCTTCCTCTTCGGCCTCTCTCCTTTGCTTAGAGTCAAAAGAGCCAAGTCACTTCAGAGGAGTGAATGGGTCCATGCCTGCTCCTGACAAATAATTTGATAGATATAAATATATAATCTGTGGACTGTAGATAGATCAATTGTAGATATAAACATGTAATCTATAGGCTGTAGATAGATGATCAATAAATATAAATTTGTAATCAATAGACTGTAGATATAGATAGGTAGATGATAGATAGATATGGATAGACATAAATATATATAATCTATAGACTAGATAGACCAATGACAAATAGAGATACATATATAATCTATACACTGTAGATAGATGGATAGAAGGTAGCTGGATATAAATTTGTAATCTATAGACTGTAGAGAAGATATACAGACATAAAAATGCAATGTATAAGCTGTGGATAAATTGATAGATATAAATATGTCATCTACAGGCTGTAGATAGCTGATAGATATAAATATATGATCTATAGACTGTAGATACTGACAGATATAAAAATGTAATTTATAGGATGTAGATAGATGATACATTGATATAAATGTATAATCTATGGAATGTAGATAGAGATGATCATTGTAAATATGTAATCTATAGACTGTAGATAGACGATGGATTGGTAGACAAATAGATGATTGATAAATGATATAGAATATTCATAATGCGAATGTACCTCACAGGGACTGGTTTTCCAAAGCTTTGCAGTTTCAAATATTAACCGTGCAGAGGACCGGAAATTTTCCTCAGGCTATAAAGTCTCTGGTGTTAGATAAAGATTTGTGGCACAGCAAGGTTGCTGGCTCAAGGACAGACTAATTACTGATTGTTATGTAAAGATACTGAGAAATTGCTGTAAGATCACTTAATTGTCTACTGGAATGTCATCTGGCTTGTTTCACTGAAAGTTACCAGCCTATACTGTTAAACTATAACCCCACCTATGCTCTCTTCCTGTAACTTCCCAGCCTGGAAAATAAATGCAGGAAGAGAACCCCAATTCGGGGTTAATTTCCCAAGGAAGTGTTGCCTCTTGCTGGAGGGTTCTGGGGAATTTAACCACTTCGGGGCTTCTCACTGCTCAGTAGAGATGAGCTTTTAGTAATCCTTTGTGTCTCCGTCACCCAGGGGTAGTGGGGTGACGAATCCGTGGGGGGCAAAGCAACAAAATGATCAATAGATGATTGATAAATGATAGCTCGGTACATGACAGATAGGTAATAGGCATAGATACAAGTGGATGGATGACACAGGAAGATAGATATACATGATCTCTATACATTGCTATGCAGACTTGAATTCTGGACCTGCAGTCTGTAACACTGGCTCACAGTGGAGATGCTGGGATTTGCATGCCTTCCTAATCCACAGGGTGGGGAAAACATAGACAGGAGCCTGTTGTGACAGGCGTATGTGGAATGTGAAGGTCAGGGAGACAGACAGCCCAGGGGAAGTAAGCAGCAGAGCGTGTTTGTCCTGTTTGTTCTATTTAGTGTACATGTGCATCTGTAGGGCCTTGCTGGAGAGCTGCCTCCTCTGGGAGGGCCCTGCGGTCTGGACAGGAGGACGCCCTGGTCTTTGAGAACCACAGGTCTGTGTGTTCTGCCTCCCGGCTGCATGCAGTGAATTTTAAATTTTGTAGACAGTGGCCAGCCCACATAGTGTGTGGGATTTGTCAGCATTTCTGTGTTTCCTCCCCACCGTCCCCTTCATCCAGTCAGCAAGCCCTTGGGGGCCCAAGAATCAAGATGTTTAAAAGTCACTGTGAAAGATCACATCATCCGTGTGCACGTAGATTTTAAATGGCCATGAGGAGGACCTGCTGGGAGAGTTTCTTCCTCTTCTGTTGGAACTTTAGGGAACAGAACATTTTGGTTGATGAGACAATATATCTCTTCTCCCATCTCTGTGGCCTCATAGATTCTTGAGCCAAAGTATTTTTAACAACTGGTCCGTGCAGAATTTAATTGACACGTCTGGCTGCTTCTTCACAGAACACAGCTCTCTTAAGTGGAGTGGGCGTCTTCGCCTTGATGCAGGCAATTAGACCGTCGCTTTCACTTTTTGCTGTTTTTATCAGCTAAGATCTAAACACTTTGGGTGAGTTTTCAAGACTCTAATGAAAAATAAAATAAGAGACTGTAGCTACACATGTCTGTGATATGGTAGCAGCAGGAAATTTAACAGCACTCTGGTTGGCGTCTCATGCTTAGGGGTTCCCTGCACGATTTCCTGAATTGTTTTTATTTATTTATTTATTTATTTTGACAGGATGTGTGTGAAGATAGATAAGTAGATGATAGTTAGGTGGCAGATCGATCAGTAGATGATAGATACGTAGATAGATTCTAGATAAATAGATTATAAACAGGTAGATGTCAGATAGATACATACATAGGTAGATCGTAGTTTAATAGTTGTTAGATTGATAGATTTGATAGATTATAGATTACAGACAGGTAGATGATATATTGACATATTGATAGAAGATTGGTAGATAAGTAAACGGATAGATAGGTGATAGATAAGTAGATGATTGATAGGCAATTAGATATATAGATGATAGGTTGATTGATACATGATTGATAGATAGATATAGGTAGATGATAGATACATACCTAGATGATAGATCAGTATACGATAGATAGGTAGGTAAGGAGATATAGATGGAAAGATAGACAGATGGATAGACAGACGGGTAGATAAATGATAAGTGTCACTAACAAACACTGTAGAATTGTTGCTGAGTACAAGTTGGGAAGTGTGAGCAGGGAGAAAGGTGACCATGAGATCCCTCAGGAGTGTAACTCTGGTGTCTTGTCGATTTCCACAGTGGCCGACCAGGCCTTTGTCACACTGGCCACCAATGACATCTACTGCCAGGGAGCCCTGGTCCTGGGGCAGTCACTGAGGAACCACAGGGCAACGAGAAAACTGGTGGTGTTGATTGCGCCTCAGGTGTCCAGCCAGCTCAGGTAAGCTGCGGAGATATTACCTGTGCACAGCAGGCTCTGCTGGTACAATGAAGGTCCCCTGTACCCTAGGAGGTCCCAGGGATGGTCCTGATGACCGGCCACCTCTGTTCATGGGCCTAGATGGCCGGTGATCATGGTGGGCATCTTCTATTTGTAAAGTACCTTTAAGTCATGATAGAAGCAGAAAAATCTGTCATGCTGTGTGATTGAATTTGGAATACTTAAAAAGTGATAACGTGTATTGTTACTCACTCTCTCCACTGTGGAATTTCATAAGCCAACATTTTTTGGAGGAGGGGTGGAAACTTTTCAAAGCAACTATTATTCAAACAAGTTAAAGATTTAAGCCCCAAAGTCACAGCATTTCATTTTTGTCTCTGTTCAGTCTTCGAATATGTAGAATAGGTATCTGCTTCCTCTCGAATGTAAGTTCTTCTGTTGGACTTTTCCAGTAACATGTATGGGTGTTTCTGGGTGGTTGTGCCTGGGTGTTTCATTCAATGTATGTCTAGTTCTGTGTTTCTCTTGATTTTTTTTTTTTTGAAAAGGACTTGCTGGATGTAGGGCTTGGTATTCGTGTGCAGGATGAGCCTGGAAGAGTCATGGAGGGTCCCCTTCCTGGGAGGTGAGAGGAGACCTTCCTGAAAGGTGACAGCTCCAGGCAAGAGTTGACCATTGGTAGAAGGGAGTCAGTCATTTTTTTTTTAACTGAAACATATTTATTATACATATTTGTGGGGTACAGAGTTATATTTCAATGCATGGATACAATATGTGATGGTCTAATCAGGGTAATCAGCATATTCGTCATTGCAAAACATAATCATGTGTTTGTGATGTGGACATTGGATCTCTTCTCTTCTAACCATTCAATACCTTGCAGTAAATTATTATTAATGATAAATGCCCAACTCAGCTGTACATCACTAGGACCTATTTTTCCCATCTAGCTGTTCTGTGTCCATTAACCAACACAGTTCTACTCTCTCCTAAAACTGCAACTTATTATCATCATTTATTAGCTATCTATTTATTTATTTGTAATTAATTAATTTTTAGTTCCCACTTACGAGTGACGACATGTGATATTTCTCTTTCTGTGCCTGGCTTATTTCACTTAACGTAATTTTCCCCAGGCTCATCCATGTTGCTGCAAATGGCAGAATTTCATTCTTTTTTATGGCAGAGTAGTATTTCGTGGTGTATATAAACCACATTTTCCTTATCCAGTCCTCTGTCGATGGACATTTAGGTTGGTTCCATAACTTGGCTATTGCAGATAGAACTGCAATAAACATGGGGGTGCAGGTATCCCTTCAACAGGAAAATTTCCATTTTGGGGGGTATACATCCAGCAGTGGGATTGCCGGATTGCATGGCAGCATCTGTAGTTGTTTGTGGAATCTCCATAGTGTTTTCCATAATGGCTGAACCAATTTACAATCCCACCAGGGGCGTTGAGAATGAGCAGCACTTGAGAACAGGAGCACAAAGAGGTATTCTGTGAAATCTCTGAGAGATTTGCAGGTGCTTGTCTCTCTTGTGCTGGACAGCTGTTCCAGGAAGGGGTTGTCCCAGTTAGAGATGGTACCAGAAAAGGGAGCTGCCCTAGAGAATGAAAAAGACCTCAGCACCGGGCACGGAGACTTCCTTATATAGTGGAAAGAAGTGGGAATTCACCTGGCAGGGGCTTCCCGCCTTCTCGTTCTCTAAATCATTAAATAAGTGATGTGAATTTACCTTGGCCAGCTCTCAGAGAATGTTCTTCTCAGCAGGTCAAGAAGTGAGTAAAAACCTAGTATTAAGAATAAGTCATTATTGTGAAAAGTTTTATGAAATTGTGTATATTAGTCCGTTTTTGTGTTGCTGTAACAATACCTGAAACTGGGTAATTTATAAAGAAAAAAGGTTTATTTGCTTACGATTCTGGGACAGCTGCATCTGGTGCAAGCCTCAGGCTGCTTCTACTCATGGCAGAAAATGACAGGCAGCCAGTGGGTACAAGCAGATCACATGGTGAGAGGAAGCAAGAGAGAGAGAGAAGGTGCCAGGGTCTTTTAAACAACCAGCTCTCACGGGAACTAATACAGTGAGAATTTACTCACTACCTCCACCACCCAAAGAGAACATTAATCCATTCATGAGGGATCTGCCCCCATGACTCAAACAGCTCCCAGCACTGCCACGTTAGGGATCAGATTTCCACATGAGTTTTGGGGGGGCACCACAGCCAAATTCTATCATTGTGCAAATTTAAAAGAATCTATATTACCCAATATACTTATTTAATAAACAACGGACAGAGATATGTTGGATACTACATAGACAAAAAGAAAAGCAGGGTTTATACTATTTTCTTCTGACTTTAAGGATTCAGGCAAGAGGCATTAGATAACAAAGTGTATAATTCATATTTTAGGAATACTTGTAATGTTTCTTTATGCACCAGCTATCATTATGTAAAGCATACAAACAAAATCTTTTAGATATACAGGGAAAGAGGGAAAAATGGTGACAGGGGTATCATTTTTTTTAAAAAGTCCTTCTAGTCTTTAACCCGCAAATAAGGCAAGTAAATGTGTCTAATGAATAATGCATAAGGTTCTCTTAAACATTATGCATTATGTAAACAATCATCTTTCTCTCTTATCAACCAAGACCACTTAGAAAAATTGATTTTATACTAGTGGGACAAAGACGCATTTAATATGTTGCTTGAAACAGGAGGTAAATGTTATATACTTTGACTAGGATATAATAAATCTAGACATTAATAGCTGAACTAAAAAACAAGCAAACAAACAAACAAAAAACCCAGTGTATCCTCAGACATTTTAAACCCGATTTGCTCCCTAAAGAACTTGACCAGTGAACATGTGAAAGATTGAAATATAGTAGCATCCTTCAAAAAGTCCATGGAAAAATAGAGTTAAAAGATAACATGAATCTTTCCATGAACTTTCTGAAATACCCTCGTATGCTAAGAAAATCATAGCAATGTGAATGTTGCCTAGACAAACCAAAAAAGGCAGCTGAAGTGGTACTTAGAGAGAAAAAACTAAAATTGGTGAAGAAATTATCCCTTTCAGAAATTAAAAAAAAAGAACAAAACAAAACTAGTAACTGGAACAAATTGGCTATAACCCATTCTCTTATAAATATTTCAAATTATTTGATGCTTAACTTGTATTTTGTCTTGTCTAAAATAAGCCATTCAGGCCCCAGAAAGAAAGGAAAGGGAAGAAAATAAATTTGGCCAAAGGGACATTATCCTGTGTCCAAGCCTCTGTCCTTTCAGATTCAGACCAGAGGCTCCAGGAGGTTCATAGTTGGGAAAGATGCCCATAGGAGTAGACACTTCTACTAGTGTATTTCTATTGCTTATAACAGAATGCCTGAAACTGAGTAATTTATTAAAAAATGCAATTTATTTCTTACAGTCACAGGGGCTGAGAAGTCCAAAGTCCAGGGGATGCATCTAGCAAGGGCCTTCTCTTTGGTGGCTACTCTCTACAGCAGTACCGGGTGCCACATAGTGAGAACAGTCTGAGCAAGAGAGAGCTGACCTGCTCACTTTTCTCCTTATAAAGCCATCAGAACCACGCCCATGACTCAATGAATGGATCAACCCATTCAATGAGGATACAGCCCTCACAATCTAATCAACTCTCAAAGGTCCCATCTTTCAAATACTGTATAGGATTTCCCACTCTCTTAACAGTGTTACAATGGAATTTAAGTTTCCAACAGATGAACTTTTGGGGGACACATTCAACCCATAGCAACACTCATCCCTGGGGGGTCCTCTGCAATCTGCCCTGTGTTTCAATTGATGGTGTGGATTGAGTTATATTCTTTTATAGAACTGTCCTGGTAAAGCCAGAAGGGCCCCAGAAAAGCATGTATGACTTCCTCATGGGTCCCTGTTGCCTTAGGGTTGGTAAGCTTTATTTGTTTGTCTCAAAGTCTACTCCAAATGAACTCTAACATATTCCAAAACAACATCCCAGAAATAGTGGGAAGGATTCAATATTGCAGAATGGGTGGAGATATTTTTATTCACAGTCATTGAGAGGGTTGAGAGATGATGCCTTGTAGTAGTCAGGGCAGTAAAAGTCAACAGTGAGCCATGGTCATACATGACCAGGGGTGTAGAAGGTGGGAGACCACCACTCCCCCAGGCTGTGTGGTACAGTTGTGTCATAGGGTGGTCTTCCTGCAGAGAAACAATCCCAGGAGCATGTGCTTGTAGCTTCAAACAAATTGTGTTCATGAAACTTGACTCTACTTCCAGGAATTTATTTTAAGGAAACAGGCAAAGCTGAACCAAAGGAGATAAGGACCTAAATCACAGTGCTATTTGTAGTAAGGTAGACTGCTAGTTCTGTAGCCCTCCCCACTGGATCTTTATATAACCAGGAAGATGCTATAAATTCCATAAATAACTGAGCAAAAAGTAGGGAAATTTGGTGATGGGATAGTACTGTCTGAGAGGTATAGCTCCTTTCAATAATGAGCAGTGAAATTGTACCAATAAATGTTGAGTATAAGAGGAAAGCTAGGGGATATAAAAGTACAGGCATAGAAGCTTCAATGTCTGTCAAAGAAGAGTTTCAAGAAGGAAGAAGGAGAGAAAAAAAGAAGAAAGGAAGAGAAAGAATGAGAAAGAGGAAGGAAGGAGCGAGAAAAGAGAAAGGAAAGAAGAGAGAGCTAGGCAAAGAAAATAACTCATGTCTTATTTCAGCTCTGAGAAAGGATTTTAGATTAAGGCTGTCTGAGTACTGAGCAGGATAAATGAAGAAAGTCCAAACAAAAATACAAAATGATACAATCTGAGAGCACACAGAATGAAGAAACACTTCTGAATACCTTTCAGGATCAATCCAGTTGGGAGAATTGATGCTTCTGTTTTGGTGAAAAATCCCACTGAAATGAGACTTCTGTATTTAGCTTTGAATGGAAAATAAAGATATCTCAAGTATGCAAATGCTCAGAAATTCTACACTTCCAAGACCTTTATGAAAAAGGCCAGTTGGTATATTCAAGCAAAGTGAGATGTGAATCCAGTAAAAATGAAAGTATACAGGAAGCTGTGCTAAGCATATAAATGAGTAAAACGGAGAGTTAAGTCTCAATGCATTCGTGCACAGTTATGAAAAAAATCTGGAATTAACATTTCACATGGAAGGTGACTGAGGTGGCAGAGAAGAGAGAGAAAAATGGGCAAACATATACGAATGTTCATGTTTTGTGTACAAAGAGATAGATGATGACTGTCTTTAGAACTGATAGAATATATAAGTTTAAATACGTGTGCTGACAGTCAAGAGTGGTAACCCCCCGAAAGCTAGAGATGATGTTCATATGTGCAACTTTCAAAGCATTAATAGAAAATGCATGAAATGGGATGACCCCATGGTGCACTCAGGAGAGTGCGGCGCTGGGAGCGCAGCGACGCTCCCGCCGTGGGCTCAGATCCTATGTAGGAATGGCCGGTGTGCTCACTGGCTGAGTGCAGTGCGGGCGACACCACACCAAGGGTTGCGATCCCCTTACCGGTCACGAAAAAGACGAAAGAAAGAAAAGAAAGAGAGAGAGAGAGAGAGAGAGAGAGAGAGAGAGAGAGAGAGAGAGAAAGGAAAGAAAGAAAGAAAGAAAGAAAGAAAGAAAGAAAGAAAGAAAGAAAGAAAGAAAGAAAGAAAGAAAGAGGGGCCGGCCCGGTGGTGCACTGTGCTAGTGCGCCGCTTGGGAAGCGCGGCGGTGCTCCCGCCGAGGGTTCGGATCCCACATACAGACCGGTTCCCGCTCACTGGCTGCGCGGGGGCAACGCCGAGGGTTGCGATCCCATTGCCGGTCCTGGTCCGGTACGGGGGCGATCCGTTGCCGGACACGGAAAAAGACAAAAAAAAAAAAGAAAGAAAGAAAGAAAAGGAAGGAAGGAAGGAAGGAAGGAAGGAAGGAAGGAAGGAAAAAGAAAGAAAATGCATGAAATGAGGAAAACTTCATTCATGCAATGAAAGGTGGGAAAGGATTACAAAAAAGAAGTAGAAAGTCTGATAAAGTGAAAAAGGGAAAAATGATATAAAACAAAATTGCAGGACTCAATCCAAATATATCAGTGATTATAATAAAGGTTAATGGATTAAAACTCTCTTTAAAAAGAGTGAGACATTGAGCATTGGAAAATAAACATAAAATTCAACCATATACTGTACATGAGACAGCTTAAGTAACAATAAAATATGTTGAAAATAAATGATTTTGAAAATACAATGATTTTGTTCCACTATCCAGTCCAAGACCCTATACTGAATTTAGTTGTTGAATATCCAATAGTCTCCTCCAATCGGTGACAGCTCCTCATTCTTACTGTACATGTCTTGACCTTGACATCTTTCAAAAGTACTGGTCAATTATTTCATAGATGGCTCTTCCATTTTGGTTTGTCCAGGGTTTTCTCATGGTTAGACTGAGGTTATGCATTTTTGGAAGAAAAAAATCATCAGAAGTGGTGAACTTTTTCAGGGCTTCATGTCAGGGAGTATGTGATATCATTACGTCTTGTTACTGGTGACGTTAAATGTGATCACCTAGATAAGGCACTGTCTTTTGAGGTTCTCCACTGTAATTTTCCCTTTTATAATGGATAAATATCTTGGGAGAGACACATTAAGATTAAGCAATTAACCTGTTTCTTCTCAAACTTTCATCTATTGACTTGATCATCCATCAGTGAATCTGGTCTACAATCATTGTTACTGTGGTGTTTTCCTAATGATAATTTTCTATTTTCTCATCCCTTCTATATTTATTACTTGGAATTCTTTTCAAAAGTCAACCTGCTCCTTTTCCCTCACTTACTCATTTATTCAATTGCTGTATCATATAGAATCATGTATATTTATATATGCATATACATATAGTATTTTGTGGATTAAATTGTTTCAATTTTGATAATTGCAAGCTCTTCCTGGTTGACTCCTTGTATCCTTTTGACATGCTTCTGTCCATTTTTTTTCTATCCCTTCCTTAATTTTTCTGTCATGACAAGATGTTTTAGGCTATGATAAAGTAGAATTTCAGCATTACTTAATTAATTAACTAATGGAACAGAGACAAATTTTATTTTAATAAAAAGTACCGTCTTTCAAACTTTCAGTCCCAACTTGTATGCAACTAACAATGTAGGTTTTTAACACATAAAGTAAAAACTGATAGACATTGTAGTGGGCATCTTTTGGTTTCTACACTCTGTCCCAGCATTTTATGAGGGAAGCTACATTTCTAAGTGATGGCTCAAGTCTGTTTATCTTGATGGTTCTCTTCAAATGATCTTTTTCAAGTATACGTGCATTTTAAGCTTGGGTGGATAGTGTGCGCAGCTCTAAGATATCTGTGGAAAATAAATCCTGAACACCAAGACTGCAGTGCATGTGATGGGGAATTAGATGCCAGTTCCACGTCTGTGAGCAGTGAAAGGCCATCATCTTGAAAGAGTATGTTGTTCTCCGGTTAATATCCACCTGCAGTCTCTAGTATTCAATGTGTGTCTTTTCCAGGGTCATCCTCTCCAAAGTGTTTGATGAGATCATTGAAGTGAACTTGATAGACAGTGCTGACTACATCCATCTGGCCTTTCTAAAGAGACCTGAGCTGGGAGTCACTCTCACTAAGCTTCACTGTTGGACCCTTACTGATTACAGCAAGTGTGTCTTCCTTGATGCAGACACTCTGGTGAGTACAGTGGGATAGTAAGCCTGAGATTCTCCCCTGGATAAAGAACCCCTCAAAGACCACATCTCTCCATCCTTCAGCAGGCTGATAGCTCTTGCTGGTAGGTTCCCATGAGGTGATATGCACCTTGCTGTCTAGGGCACTGTGATTCCGTCCATCAGAACTAGATATAACATGCCCATGGTCACCGTGCTAGACCCTGCAGAAGACAGTGAGGGATTTGAAAACATGTTCTTTTCCTAGTAGTGGTTTATAATCACATTGTTTCATCTACACAAAATAATTGAAAAAAAATATGTTTGCCTCAATCGTGTATTGGATTGTTTAGTCCTCATTGGACTGATACACCCAGACTTTAAACCATGACATCCCCTGATTGTCACTGGGGGTAGTGAGCTACTGTGTACCAACAAAGGGTGGGCATTCTGAAAAACAGCCTTTGGAAAATCAAAATGTAAAATGAAATTGGAGTGGCAGAAGTCAGTTCTGTATTGTTTTGTTTTGGTTGAGCAAAATAAATAAATAAATAAAATAAAAACAATCAGAGTAATGTTTTTCTCCAGGCAGAGCACAATTGAGAAAGTCAATATGCGTTAACTGGAATTAGTAGTCAAGCTCTCCAAGGTAACTGATCACAGACTGTTGACTTGCAAACCTCTCCGTTCATGGGTTTCCATACTTTCACGGGCCATGTTTGCTAAAGTAGGGAGGATATACAATTAAGAGAATTCCATGAGGGAGCTTGAGAAAATAATTTAATATCAGACACGGTGTTCTTTCAACCACTTGAAATAAACTGGAGAGCCGTCTGACCCACAAACATTTCTCCTTTGAGAATGATAAGCCTAAACATCTTGAAAAGTGTCACTCAAAATATTGGGCAAGGATTTGCAGCCACCAAACATCTGTGTGTCCCATCCTAAAGCTTTGGTTGCAATTTTTAGCTGTCTACCCGAGTGCTTTGCTTTATCAGGTGCTGTCCAATATTGATGAGTTGTTCGACAGGAGAGAACTTTCTGCAGCTCCTGATCCTGGGTGGCCGGATTGCTTCAACAGTGGGGTGTTTGTCTTCCAGCCCTCACTGGAAACACATAGACACTTGCTACAGCACGCCACCGACCATGGCAGCTTTGATGGTATGTGAGGGTGAACGTGGAAAACTGCAGAAGAGAACGGGGCAGTTGCCTGTACCCACACCCCTTTGCCCCACTCCTATGACCCTTATATCTGTGGATGGCAACTCAAAGACAAAGAGGGAATTGAAGAATTAGGCCAGACTGGGTGACAGGAAGAAGTCAAGAAGTAAGTGAGTACGTAGGCAGCTTAGAGAACTGCTGAAAATGTCCTTGAGGAGGACAATGCTGATCTTATAGAATAGGTGGGCAAACCTTTCTCTAAGGGGCCAGAAAATAAATATTTTCACCATTATGGGCCATATGGCCTCTTTTGCAAACACTCAGTTCTGCAGTTGTAGCAGAAAAGCAACCATGAGTAATATAAATAAGCATGGTAGTGTCACAATAACACTTTATTAACAAGAACAGACACAAGGTGTCCGTGGCTGACCTCTGATATAGAATGAAGGAGAAAATTAAAGGGAAGCAACCCATAGCCAGAAATCTCTTTGGGTGTCAGTAGGTAGGGAATGTGTCAAAATCCTAGTCAACTAAAAGAAAGTACTGGATCAAAGAAGAGTGGCCTCTAGGTAAGGACAAGCATGAAGGAAGCCAGCAACAAATGGTGGGGAAAGGATTGTCACCACCAGAAAAAAAACCTGTTGGGTGATAAGAGGATAGCTTTGGAGACTGTATAAAATTTTATTATTATTTTCTTGGGTTATCAGTGGAGAATGTTAAGAGAATGTGCACTTATTTTTGTTAGCGGTTTGGGTGACCTGTGACTTTGGGGAAGAAATCAGAAGAAGCTGGCTGAGAAAAGACACATAATTAGTAACCCTGAAGGCGAGGGTTTACGTGAAGCCCTCCAAACACATCTGCCCCGTTACTGCAGTGTTACTTTACTAACCTATTCTCTGCGTCTCCTAACGATGCAGGGGCCGACCAAGGCTTGTTGAATAGTTTCTTCAGTGACTGGTCAACGGCGGACATCCAGAAGCATTTGCCGTTTACCTACAACCTGAGCAGTAACACCGCGTACACCTACGGCCCTGCCTTCAAACAGTAGGTTCCCCACCACGGAGCAACCTTTCTCTCTTTGGACATATATCAGCTGTTGGCATATTGAAGGAAATAGGTGCCATCCTCCTGCCAGCTTATTGCGATAAATAATAGGTAGCCAAGACTTCATCACTGTCACCCCCAATGTGTTGTCCAAGGAACCCTGGGGGTTCCCCCACAACGCTGTCAGTTATCTTCACAGTCAACACCTCTTACATTTATTCATTTATTTTTGTGCATATTTGTAGGGTACTGTGTGTTGTTTCAATACACGCCTAGATTGCACAATGATTCACTTAGGGTAGGTAGCATAGTTTTGCACCCATTAGTCCACCACTTTGCAAACTGTTTTTTAAAAAAATGATTCTAAGATGCTATTTTTTTCCTTTTGACTTTTATTTTCTTATGAGTATATGGTGGGATTTTATGGAAACCATGTGGATGTTATGAGACAACACACCAAACCCAGACAAAGAAGTGAGAAACCAGCTGTCTTTTCTTGGGACAGTCGACATCTCTTTTCTCGCCATTTTTATTTTTTATTTTTTTTTGGATATGTAGTTATTTTAGATGAAAAATGTGAAATTTATGTTAATATACAATGGGTTGATTTTTTTTTGTGAATTAATAAATGTCTTCTAATTTCTCCATTTTAATTTCTGTCATGGTGAATATGTATAAGTAGAATCCACATGAACAAAGCTCTTTGGGTTTTTTAGTAACTTTTAATTGCATCGAGGGGACCTGGGACCAAAAAAGTGTGAGATCTACTGCTAGATAAAAAAAAAAATCTGAGAATAATCAAGGTGATGAATAATTCTACAGCGTACATTCTCAGCAGGGACCGTATTGTCCCCGAGGAGGTGGAAATTGGTTCTTGCGGAGTGAAAAATAAATCTTATTTTTTTAATGGATAAGCCCAGATGTAATATCAGAACATGAGTATGTACTGAGACTATGACGATGAAATTTCATGGGGAGGTGATTAAAGACAAATAGTCTAAAAGGTGCCTAGGGGGTCGGTGATACAGAACTAGAATAAAAAGCTGAGAAGAGATAATTTGGAATCTTGCAAAAAATTTTTTAAAAAGCCAGTTGTCTGGTTTGCAGCTGGAATATCTACTATACAAGCTACGATTTCTTTGCCTTTATCATTTTTAGGATATGACAATAGGACTATTTGAGCTGCCCTGCTGCCTACTTTTTCCCCCATTTTTATCAGCACCGCACTCTCCCGAGTGAGCCACAGGCCAGCCCAATTTTTCCCCCATTTTTAAAAGATGGATTTATTCTCCAATTTGGAGGAAGATCTCAGTGGATTATGATTATGTTACTTAGTAAACACTGCAAACTTCATATTGCTGCATAAATGCCTGTTATTAATAGATACAATGTACCCTTGTATCCAAATGAGGGTATTCAATTATTCACATTTTAGAAACATGAAAATAAAACTAAGTAAAAATAAATTTTAAAAGTATTTAGGCAAACGAGCTGCAAATCAGAGTGATAGTGATGATGTTGTCAATAACAGAAACTGTTCAGAGGGGTTTCTATGTGTCTTTGAGGAGTCCCATGGGGGCTGGATGTTTTTTAATCACTTCTAAGTAGAAATCAGGAATCTTGTTTCCTTCTCAGATTCGGTTCTAGTGCGAAGGTAGCCCACTTCTTGGGGTCCACAAAGCCTTGGAACTACAAGTTCAATCCGCAGACTGGCTCAGTCATGGAGCAGGGCTCGGCGCTGGGCAATCAGCAGCCGGTGTCCTTTCTGACTCTCTGGTGGAAGATCTTCCACAGCAGCGTGCTGCCTCTTTATGAGAGTGTTCAAGCCGAGGAAAAACACGGGCCTCCAGTACACACAGTAAGTGGGTAGTGCCTCTTAAAACCCACAGCTGACGACAGGGACAACCGGTCCAGACCAACACCTTGTGTGTTTTCTTCACATCCACCCTCTGTGTTTCCAAGCACTGTATTTCATGCACAAGAATGCAGGCCACTTCTTCACAAAAAATTTATGTATATTTTTTACATTTTTGGCTCAGAAAAAGAGAATGCTTTGTGAGCAGATTTATAGGACGGATGCAGAAACAGGTTACTTAAATTAGCTATTCCCTTCAGAGTAAGAGGCTCTTACAGATAAGGGGCTAAGGGTTACTAATTAACGAGGCTCTCACAGATAAGGGGCTAACGGTTACTAATTAACGTGTCATTCAGGTGGATATTTTCCACTTTCAGCCATCATTTGAAATATTAATTGGAGGAATTGTTTGGAGAGGACTTAAAATATTCTTTGACTGACACCAATTTGATTTTTAAAATTATAGTGATAACCCCTATTTGCTCTAAGTGGTGAAGTTTCTGCAGCCTGTTCACAAAGAAATGCATCTGTTTTGCAAAAGCATTTTTTAATTAGGTCCTAGGAAACTTTTCATTCTTGAGTGATTTTCTTTTTTAACTGGTGGATTTACTAGTACAATGGAGTCACATATCTGCAAATGCATCGCTTGGGAAATTGAAAATAATATATATTTCAACTTTTACTATGTTTTTTTTTATTTGGGTGGAGCAAGATGCTAGTTTTCAAGGACAGCTAAAAGCATCTGTCATCATTTGATGTGAGCAAAGAGGAGTTGATTTGTATTCAAGTGGCAGACTTTGAGTTTCCAATTATTTTCTGCTAGGCTATTTGCTAGGCACTGCTTTGTGTATGAGAGAAGTTTAAGACTTAGCATCTGGTGGTTCTGTGGACAGTCATTTAATGAGTACAGAGGGTAGGGTATGGGGGTCCTTAGGGCAGCAGGTGAGTTTACAAGATGTAGAGAGGACTTACTAGGTGTGTCCGTTTTTTTGTGCAGGTTTGCCTCAGTGGTGTTGGGGTACCGACTGCAGATTCAGCACCTACTGCTGGAGAGACGTGTGAAGACTCAACCCCCAGTGCCCAGGTGCCGTATGCAAATTCAGCACTGGGGTCCGACCAGCTCTGGCCTGCTCAGGTTCCTCTGGAGCAGATCACGATAGTAGATGAGACCCTGCCCTCACCTGAAGGATGCCATTGGGAAGATGTAAGTACCTGCATACCACACGGGTGTGACGGAGAATCGGATGCTGGCTTCCGAAGGAGAGAGCAAAGAGAGGCTGATTCCCAGGCTCCCCTGGAGGGGGCCGTGGAGAGGAAGAGCCGGTTTTCAGTTTGCTTAGGCATTAAGGGTTCCTACATTTATTTAGGTTGTGGTAGACTGAAAAAAGCCCGCCCCATCCACAAAGATGTTCATATCTCATTCCTGGTACCTGTGACTTGTGTCCTTAGCTGGCAAAAGTGACTTTGTAGATGTGATGACATTGAGGATCTTGAGATGAGAGATGATTCTGGGTTATCTGGGTGGTCCCTAAATGTCATCATAGGGGTCCTTATAAGAGGGAGGTAGGAGACTCAGAGTCAGAGAAGGGTACATGGTAATAGAAGCGGAGGTCAGAGAAAGAGAGAGTGGAGGGTGTTGGACCACTGGCTTTGCAGATGAAGGAAGGGGCCACGAGCCCAGGAATGTGGTGGCCTCTAAAAGCAGGGGGTGGCAAGCATGTGGGTTCTCCCCTGGAGCCTCCAGAAGGAACCGGCCCTGCAGACACCTTGATTCTAGGCCAGGGAGACTTCTGACCTTCAGAACTGTAAGATGATCAATTTGCATTGTTTTAAGACACCCAGTTTAACAGCCTCAGAAGCCAATGCACACTTGGAGAACGGATGTTCATTCTCATCCAGTTTAAAGATATTACAGGGGGTCCCCAGCTCTTTCAGTCTTTTTCCGTAGGTCTCCCTGAAACCCAGTTGCTGGGCTGCTCAGCTCTGCATCCTGAGAGGTTTTGGCCAAACTCCCGACTTGCATAGATAGATGTTAATTTTTGCGGTCATTTCTATTCAGGCAGGAGCTGCAGAATTTTGTCCTCAGGAGAGAAAGATCAAAGCACACCTTCTTTGCAAAACACATGATATTAAATGAACCTGCCTTTCTGCAGCCCAAATTGCTGAGCGAATACTTGGGAATCATGTCCCCTGTTTAAAGATTTTTCATCTTAAGTCCTCACACTTATAATAATAAAACAATTCTTATACATAAAATAAACAAAACTAGTGTTTTACTGAAGTTATTATGAGGTCGTACATGGGAATGGATTTGGGGACTGGGCCAAAGGGAAGTTGTCCTGTTCTGTATATTTCAGATAGCTTTGGAAGAGCTGTTTTTTTGCCTATTATAAACCACTGATGTTTAAGTCTTAGCAACTGTTTCTTGGGAAGGAGCCCCACTGTTTGCTATCATATGGAGTCAGTTTCATGCACGCAACTTCATGCAATCATGATTTCTGAATGGTGATTTCACATTGATCCAAACTCATTGGAAAGCAGCTCAGGTTTGGGCAGTGAACACTAAGCCCATATGAAATGAGCTTTCCACAGGTTATCACTCCTCCTGATGTGTACTGAGCATGCCACAGCCTGGCTCTGGCCCCGGCACATGCCTCGTGTGTCTAAAATCAAGACAGTCTGATTATCCCAGTTGGAATGTGGGGAATCTGTCATTTGAGCTCCTATGTGCTGTGTAGAACTGCTTCTAAGTCTGTCGTTAGGAGCCAAACCTGTAACAGGACGTTTACAAAATATTGGTATGCACGTGAACTGTTTAGCAGACAGCAACGTTTAGACTCTACTGGGCATCCCTCAGAAGACCCTTTCCAACTCCCCCTCTAATTCCTAATTACCTGATTTTAATCTTATTCCGTAATTGATTTGTGTACATTAGTGGTTTTCCAATGGTGGCCCAAGTTTTGTCTGTATAAGAATCATCTCCAAGGGTTTTCCTTTTGCAAATGATCCTAAAAAGCATCTATAAAAGCTTGGTCTCAACCACGGTGGGTACCACCTCATAACAGAACACCACCATCTGCTTTCAAAAGCCAGTGTGTATTCTGGACCTGTTGGTCACTCGTGGGACTACATGAATTGTCACAGACACTGAAAATCAAGCTTCTCAGTGCAAACAAAGGTTTGGCAGAGACTCTGAAAGAGAACACGGTTGGATACCTCCAGTTTCACGGTCCAAGTTGTAGCCCACGCAGATTTTAGAAAAACCAGAACCGTATTCAAAGAGCAGAGGACACTTCAGTTTCGTTAAAACACTGTGCTTCACATTCAGATCTGTGAGTTTTCTTGGAATGTTTTCATTTACATCTTGGCGTTGGGTTAATTTTCGATGAGGCAGCCACTAGAACAGACATCAGGTTTTATGTTTGTCTGCCCATAAGCAACATTTCAATCCTAGCCAGTCAACCGAAGCCAAGGAGAGGTTTTCCCATACAGGGACTGGAGCTTCTGGAACAAGTTGATGGAACGAATTGAAATCTCCGAGTTGAGGACTGTCCTCTCTCAATGCCCAATGAGATGAGCAATGGAGATTTAAAAAATCACACATTCAACAGCAGCAGCCAAGATGGAAACAGCTGGCCCCATACACCACTGAAGATTGTGGTGCCATTTGAGTAGTTTTGGCATGGTTCCGGAGCCCCACCCCATCCTTAAGTGGCAGTACTTAGGAAAGAAGGGTTGGAAAAATATCACAAGAATTGGCCAAAAGCCCATCTCCAGGGCCCCAGATGAACCCTAAGGTGAATTGAGGAATACCCTTGAAAGTGGAAGTTGCCCATGTCCCTGCAGCCTCGAGAGGGACATTAGAAAGCTCTGGGACCTGCCATCTTCCTGGGTTCAGTTGGAGTATGAGCCCAAGGCCAAGGGTAGGGTGTGGGGAGATGGCCAACCAGTTGGGTTCAGTGTACCTTGCTTGGGGAGTCATTGCAGTGTCCGTATTTTCCATCTTGGGGGCTGTACCTACCCTCTCTACTCTACTGCCCACACTCATGCCCACCCATGGGATCCAAAAAAGCAATGGAAGACAAAAGCCCGTCAGCAGTCTGCAGGTGCCTGACCTTTGTTGAATAAATTGCATCTGCAGGTTGCAAAGGGGATAGTAAGGGAATGAATACAGAAGGATCTACCTCGGATACGTCTTGGATCAATCTTGAACTGATAAAGTGAAAAAGGAATCCTTCAGCCACACAGAAGTGAGTCACTGAGAGTCAGGCAGGTGGGAGGAATCCTGAGTCCCCACTGAGCCGTGGCTGCTCGGACATGAAGGGACTCAATGTGCAGGACTGTGAGCCCAACGTACCTATTTGCCAGAGAGGAAGAGATGAATCCAAAATAGAGAGCTCAGGAACCCAGAAAAAGAGCTGGCGATAAAACCTAAGCTGTTGAAATAAAGAATATAGAGTCAACTCTAAACAACTGGGTGAGTTGTGCTGGCGGAGCACAACACATATGTGAAAAATGCCAACAGGACAAAAAGTATGCAAATAAAACAAGGTACTTTGGAGTGTCTGCCTGCACACAATTCGATCCTTTATTCCCCCACTCTGTCCCACCCCACAGCTCTGTCTTTCTATCTACAGTGGGTTGGGGAGATTGGCTTTTGAAAAAAAAAATTCTTTATTGCTTGTACATTTTTATGATGAGCCTATTTCTCTAAAAATGATGAAGTCATTACATTTTTAATAGGGAGGGGTGCCCGTTCAGTATCTGATCAATTTCATTAATTTACAGGCTGGCGGTCATTGAAATCAATTATGCATCATCACTGCCACCTCCTGGCCATTTATGGAGTTACTGACTCCAGGTTTTATTTTGGAGAGCTGGAATCCAGCCTCCTACCCCCACTGAAAAAGGGTTATTTTTCTTTATTTTTGATTTAATTTTATTTTGTCAATATACAATGTGGTTGATCATCGTGGCCCATTACCGAAATCTCCCTCCCTCCTCTCACCCACCCCACAACAACGTCATATCTGTTCGCTTGTCATATCAACTTCAAGGAATTGTGATTGTTGTGTCTTCTTCCCCCCCCCGCCCCCCCCCCCCGCAGTTTATTTGTGTATTTATTTATTTAATTATTTTTAGCTCCCACAAATACGTGAGAACATACGATATTTCTCTTTCTGTGCTTGACTCGTTTTACTTAATATAATTCTCTCTAGGTCCATCCATGCCGTTGCAAATGGCAGAATTTCATTCTTTTATATAGCAGAATAGTATTCCATTGTGTAGATATACCACATTTTCCGTATCCACTCATCCGATGATGGACATTTGGGCTGGTTCCAACTCTTGACTATTGTAAAGAGTGCTGCGATGAACATTGGGGAACATGTATCCCTTCGACTTGATGATTTCCATTCCTTTGGGTATATTCCCAGGAGTGGGATAGCTGGGTCA